AATACAAAATAAGATCGCTAAAATGAATCATAACAGAATAATAATAAATCAAGGTAAAGATTGTCAGATAAAATTTTTAAATGTCAAAAAATAACCATCAAACAAAACATATAGAAAATAAAGTAATGAAAAATATTGAGGGCAATACTAACACAAAGAAGACCTAAAGTTAAAATTTTGATAAAAGATTGAATTCAAAGTTAGAATATCACATAAGCAAAACAACTCTAGGCAATAGAAACAATAGCAGAAGCAAAAGATATGCACATTTATGACAACATTGTCAAATAAAAACAATTACCTTTTTGCCACTAAAGCACTATAAGAACCTCACCAACAAGTAGGGGATACACATTGTTTTTCAGCTCACCTGCAACATTAAGACAAATTTGCCATGTGAATCCATGCATTCCTTATGCTAAGAGACTATAGAATGGTGTCATAGGGAATTTCATATAGGACTCAAACTTTCCTTCTTTATGATCCAGGATGACTAGAGGCTCTACAGATATGGTGAAGACGAAACGGGGAGGGAAGGAACCCTCAGAAAAAGGAGATTATATATAGAACACATTAGGGATATTCGAAGAAGTTGCTCAACACCTGATTTACTCCCAACATTTTGACCCTTATTCTTGTCAGAGGAGTCAATGAAACCAGCATGGGATTGAAAGTATACCAATCTTTTTGGAGCTCTGATGTGCACTGATCAGATTTGAGCTTGCATCAGTTCCAAACAGGCTCCCAGTGTTAAGTGTTGAAGCCCAACCTCAGTGTAGGTCAGGCTGGACACACTGGTGTAGTTTCAGTTTTGAAACAAGCAGAGAGATTGAGCAGCTGGAGTTGGATAACCCTACCCCTTCACTGATACTAATGATTAGTTTTGAAACCCAACCATATCATAGGTCAGGTTGGACACATAGGTGCAGTTTGACTGGCACCAATCAAATAGTTAGGAATATAAATGAACCAATCTGATTGGAGCTCCCATGGGTATCAATCAACTAAAAAGGACCAATTGGTTTTGAAAAGCAGACAAACTGAAGCATATATATGGAGCTGAAGCAGGCTCCAGTCAGCTTTGAGAGAGCCACTAAGATTCATCCAGATTCTCTCCTGGGAAGACCTTCATGGAGCTGTAAAACACTGGTCCCTGTTCTCCAGCACTGCTTCTTGCCAGACCTGACTTCTGCCTCTGCCTTCAGTATTACCTGATGAATGATACCATCAGCCCTGTGCTAGGTATCACTAAAAGAACTGTTTGCTGTTGGCATGATGCCCAGCAGCTCTAACAGCTATAACACTGGTCCTTGCCTTTGACCTCTTTGGCACCCACTGCTGGTGGTATTACCTTTGGTGCTAACCAGCCTAATGTCCAGTGTTGCCCAGCCTGCTGAACCATTGTTGCTAAGTGTTGTGTTGCCAGAAATAAAGTAACACATATATGGACAACAAATCTTTGACAAATGAGCAATGAATATGCAATGGAACAAGGACAGGTTGTTCAATAAATGGTGCTGGGAAAACTGGACCACCACATGCAAAAGAATGAAACTAGACTACTACCTCATACCATGCACAAAAACCAACTCAAATGGGTAGAAGAATTGAACATAAGACCTGAAACCATAAAATATATTGAAGAAAATATAAGCAAAATACTATATGACATACATCTCAGTAACATCTTTAAAGACTCATGCCCCAAAGCAAAGAAAGTGAAGGAAAAGATAAACAGCTGGGATTACATCCAATTAAAAAGCTTCTGTTCAGCAAAAGAGACATTAACCAAAACAAAGAGATACCCTACTGTTTGGGAGAAAATGTTGCACTCCATACAACTGATATAGGGACGGATCACAAAGATCTACAAAGAATTCATATGACTCAACATAAACAAGGTAAACAATCCAGTAAAAAAATGGGCAGAAGAGCTAAAAAGACCTTTCTCCAAAGAGGAAAGGCAAATGGCCAACAGACATATGAAAAAATGTTCAACATCCCTTACAATCGGGGAAATGCAAATCAAAAGCACAATGAGATACCACCTTACACCAGTGAGAATGGTACTATTAAAAAAACTAGCAACAGCAAATATTGGCGAGGGTGTGGAGGAAAATAAAGCTCTCTTACTCTGCTGGTAGGAATGCAAAATGGTCCAACCACTATGGAGCTGTGTGGAGGTTCCTCAAACTACTGAAAATGGAGCTTCCATATGATCCAGCAAATCCACTCTTAGGAATCTACCCAAAGTACACAAAAAAACATTAATTCACAAGGAAACCGTGTTTATTGCAGAACTATTTACAATAAGTAAGATATGAAAACAACCCAAATGCCCAAAAATAGATGACTGGATGGAGAAGATGTGGCATATATACACAGTGGAGCACTATTGAGCAATCAAAACAGATAAATGCATAACATTTGCAGTAACTTGGATGAAACTGGAGGGGTTGTGCTCAGTGAAACAAGTCAAAAGGGAAAAAGAAAAATAACAGATGGTTTCACTTACAGGAAGAATATAGGGGAGCCAAATAAGGGATCAGGAAAAAAATAATAATAAATAAAAAACCCAAAATTAACAGTCATCTATAAATCAGAGACATTCTGCAGGGGAGGGAAAGTAGGAAGGGTCAAAACAGGGAGGGAAGAGCATAAGGGACTGTGGTGATGGTTCACGGGTGATTGGTGGTGGGAATTTTACAGGTACTACATCTGAGAGGAGAAAGCAACTTTGTACAAAAATGAACAATGATGTAAAATATTTACAAATAAATAAATACCTTTTTAATTAAAAAAATGTGTGGTGGGCCTCCCCTGGTGATGCAGCGGTTGAGCGCTGGACTGCGAAGCTGCCCGCAGCCTCTGCAGCGCCGGTTAGATCCTGGGCCGCAGGCAAGGGCCCCACATGGTGAGACAGACCTCTCCTGTCGTGCCCACTGCTCCCCTCAGCAGTGTATTTCGTCAGTCTGTCTGTTATGTTCCCTGCTCTGGCTCTGGTGAATTCTCTCACCCTCCTGCACTTCTGACTGTACCCAGTGCTTGTATAAATAAATAAATAAATCTTAAAAAAAGAAAAAAGAAAAAAAGAAAAAAATGTGTGGTGCCACCCTTGGAGAGATCGTCACAGAGACCTTAGTGACCTTTGACCTTTGATAACTTTAACCTTCAAAATCTTCACGTATGATCTCTGCTTCAAACCACACCCTATTTCACTGCCTGTGGCTCTGCCTCTCTTTCCTCTCTTCCCGTTTATAAATAAACCCTGTTGTTGAACCCTGAATCTGAATAGTGTCTTGCAATTGCAGTTGTAAGTGCATCACCAACTGTGAAAACTTTGCCTCCCTACCTTGCACCATTTCAGTCTCACCCTCCACCATAAAAACTTAGGTGTTGGTAACTTAATTCACCTTAACTCATTCCTGGATTCTGGATGTAGCACATGTGTACATGTCTAAATATTTGTGTCACCCCAAAATCCCTATGTTGAAATCCTAAGCCCTAGAGATGATAGGTAGTAGGGCCATTGGGAGGTGCTTAGGTCTTGAAGACAGAACCCTCATAAGTGAGACTATAGAGAGATTTCAGATAGATCCCTAGCCCCTTTCTATGATGTGAGGACAGAGTTAGAAGGAGCCAGGTATGAAGCAAGAAGAGGGGTCTCCCTAGAAGGCAACCGTGCTGGTGCATTGATCTTGGACTTTCCAATGTCCAGAACCATGAAAAAGAAGAAAGAAAAATTCTGTTTTTATCTTGCTAATATAAGAATTTTGTTAGAGCAATTGGGTCAAGGCAGCATATGAAGGAAAATGGTGGGTTTTGGGATTTGAAAATAGTGGATGAATTTGTTTGTGTATGTACAGTATGTCCCAAAAGTCTTTGTAGAGTTTAAAGCTCTACTAACTCCAGAAAATATAAATGCCACACTCTCAGAAAAATACCATTTGAAGATTACTTATAAAACTTTCATTTAGATTTATTATTTTTGAATAATAAATTATTTGTTTTGCATGAAAGTACCTCTGATTAAAAATGGGAAAAAATAAACTATTACAAGGTCATAAAACTAAGTAAGTGTGAAAGAAATTGAAGTACTGCACCCGGGTTAATAGGAGACAAAAACATTTTGTGGGGAATTTGGAGCTGAGGACAGAGGAGTAAAAATTCCTTGGAAATAGCCCAAATTCCAAGGTCAACTTCAGATTTTCAAGGGTTTTGAAATTGGTGGACCTCAAATTGTTAGGGGGAAGTGATGTCCTGAGTGGACCCCACCCCCACTCCAGACTAAAGCCATCAAGACTCTGGAAAGACAAATCCCATCACCACCAAGGGAGGGTGGCTGGGACCTGAGGGTGGAGTTGGGCAGCCAGGTTGGATATAAAAAACCAAACACGTGGGCCTTGGGCTCTCTCTGGCTCGCGATCGCTCGCCTCCTGGCTTCACCGCTCCTGGCTGGCGGCCAGCTCTCAGAGCGCCATTTTGGGATTCCTGATCGGCGGATCGGGTAGGACTCATTTAAAACTTTGTCTCCCACTTTTCTCCCAGAGCTGTACATTTCCTCATTTCCCCTTCCCTTGTAAATAAACCTTTTATTAACCTTTCACGTGTGCCTGCAGTAGAGCATTGATAAGTCCTTTTAAGCGCGCGGGTGAGGACCCACAGTCAGGCACCCCGTTTTGTATCGGGGTTTCTCTACAACAAAATCATGACCTCTTAGGAACAAAGGAAGCTGGGTTCCTGGTGGAATGAATAAAACATTGACTAAGGTCTCTCTGGCCAGATGAAAGTACAGTTGAAAAGGATTTAGATTCTCAAGAATGGGGATTTAGATACTCAAGGGATTTAGAATCTCAAGAGAAGATCTCAAGATCATCTGGACTGGATGGTGGGGGAAGAGCTATGGTTTCTACCTGCTCCTAGCTCCCCCTCCCCCATCCTTAGGAACCTTTTGTGACAAAGCCACAGCTCTGTGATGCAGCCTGGGATTCTTTCCCCAAGAGAACTCCCAGGGCTCAGTTGCCTGAGGGAAGCAGTGTGATTCCAAAGATGGAGAATTATCTCTTTCCTCTGAAAAGTAGTAGTGCTACCTGGCTGAGTTCCAGCCTTACTTCTTGGGTGATTGATACCATCTTTGCCTTCCTGTGTGGACTGGGGCTTTTTCTCCTGTTACTCCCCTGCCTCCAGGGGTCTCCATCCTTACCACCATCTAGGAAACATAGAAACATCAGGGAGGTAAGTAATCTTTTGCTCAGCCCATTAGAGATTATGTCTTTTTTTCTTAGTTCCAGTTTTCCAAATCACCTAGAGTGACTCTTTAGATGAAACAAGTTAGGTCAGGCATGGTTTAGAGTGGGCACTAATATTTCTATCTGAAGATCTCAGAATGGGTATCCAGGTATAGCAGGGGGCTCCAGGGTAAAGTACCAAACTCAGTGATTAGTATTGTAGTGCCAGGTGATGGAGTTGGCATCTCTGCAGGAGGGAGGTTCTTGAGCATTGGCTTACCAGTTGCCTTCCCCTTTCCATGACCAGTCTTTCCTCTGTGTTGGCACCTATCTAAGGACAGTGCTGAGCCCCTGAGGGTCTCAGAGCAGGGACTAGAGTAGAATTCAGCTCTCAGGAAGGAGGGTGCTGACATAGCTCAGAAAAGTCTATAAGTCTCAGGATATTTATTGAGTAAAAGAAGAGTGAGGGAATAAACTCAGTGGATCTCATATAAAAATCCTTTTTAAACTTACATAATGTTCTTTTTTTTAAAAAAGATTTATTTATTTATGCGTACAAGAACTGGGGTACAGGCCAGAGGTGTGAGGGATGTGAGGATTCACCAGAGACAGAGTGGGGAACAGAACAGGCAGACTGACTGAAATGCACTGCTGAGGGGGGCAGCAGGTGAGTCAGGAGAGGACTGCTGCACCATGTGGGGATCGAACTCGTGCTACAGTGGCTGCGGAGAGTTTCATAATGCTATGTCTTAACCCCTTGCGCAACGAGGGAGGCCCCAAAACTTACATAATGTTCTGATGCAACATTACTTCAAAAATAACACAAATTTTAATAAAAATGGTAAGAGAAGGAAAAACACAAAGCTGCATCAGATAAATATAGGAAGTCATATATTCGTGAACACTGAAAGCTTACAATTTGTCTGGAGGAGAGTAAGAATTAGGTCACTGACCTTCATTTCTTCTACTTTCTCAGCATCAAAGGGGGAGAAACAGGAGTTGGAAGAAAAGTCAAACTGTGGAAGGTGAGCCGTCATAGTGCCCTGCACTCCCCAGGTGTTAATATCCATCTCTCCTGTCCCTGAAGCTGCAGTTCCATGGTCTCTGAGAGTGTCAGTGGCACAGCCCATTCCTCAGGAAACAGCTTTTGGAAGACTCCCAGGAAGGAGACAGAACCTGGATAGCTCCCAGTTTCCATTCTTGAAAGGAAGTCACAGGAGGCCTGTAAATGGCTTGTTGCCAGCCAGGGTTTGTAGGCTGGTGTAGACCCATAGTCGAGTCTGGACTGGGAGATGGGACCTAAATTTGGGGCCAACCAGGAATGAGTTGTTTAACCTCACTCGAATTCCTCTAGTGGGTGATCCTTGCCTTTCTCCCCCACAGGGCACTCATGAGGCCTCAGGGTGGAAATGACTTTGTCCATGACAAAGTGCCCCCACCATAAGCCTGGTTATGACTTGTCAGGGATCATGTGGTCTTGGACCCTGATGCTTGGGCTCCAGATTTGAATCCCCCAAAGGGGGGAATATTGCATTCAGAATCCTGCCAGGCCCCTAAACCCCTACCTTCAACACAAGCTACTGATGACACAAGCTACTGATTTCCAGCTTGTAGAGAGTGCCTGAAAGAACTGGAAGTGGCTCGCTACCTGATTTCACTTCTGCAAAGGTAAAAAAAGTTTCCCCTTTTCCGTCTTGTGTCTTCCTTCCTGTCAGAGCCCATGGTGTGAGCCCAAGGATGCTGGCAGGGGCTGACCTGGGAGGGTGAGCCATGGGGTCAGGGTCTGGCTAGAGCCCTGGGGTGATGACTAGCAGGAATATTGAGAAGAAAGCATGGAGCCAGTAAAGGGACCCTAGACCATTGCCGGTTCCTATTCCTGCCTGACCTGCCCAGCCCTCCTGGCACCTTCTGCCCCTGGTTGCAGGTGTGCCTCTTATCTTCTGCAGCCAACTGGGGAAGTGCCACGACAAGGGAGGCTTTCATCAGCTTTTATGTCAAGACCAACCAGATGAGATGTGCAAAGCAGCACCTGCTGGATCCTGCTGGCCATGCATGGAATGTGCGGATAATGTTGTCCCTTCAATGTCCCTGTCAACTTCCCCAGCTCTTCCAAATGAGCACCCTCTACCTCTGGCCTCCACCTCCCCACAGGGCCCAATGACCTCTTTACACTCTATTAGTTCACAGCCATCCATGAATGTCTCTGAGCCACTAGAGCCTTTCTTTCCCCTGGAATGCCTTTCCCCTCACCTGCCAGACCCCCTGGAGTCAGGGGCCAGTCCTTCATCTCCCCCAGTTTCCTCTGCTTCACCACCACTAGACTTCACTCTGACTCTTCCGCAGTGTGACTCATTGGCAGTCAAACTGCACACCTTCCCACAGAGCTCATCTCCACACATCCCTTGGCCAGTTTCTTCCACCCCAGTCATTTCAGGTATTGGCCACTCAAGTTGTCCTGTATCAGCCCTGACCTGGTGGCAGAAAGCCACCCAAGCCTTATGCATATCAACATCATCACATGGTGAGTCCCAGGAAGAGCACCTTTCTTGCCACCCACCAGGGGCCTTGTTCTGTGGAGACTCTACAAACAGACAGACAGAGACTGGCAGCCTCTCTTTGGTCAGTTCCAATGACCAGGAGCTGGAAATACAAGCCACAAAGAGAGTAGAGATCAAGGTTTGGAAAGAAAAAGAAGATGGATCATATTCAAAACAAATGAATCCAGAATATCACCTGAATTCTTTGGGTAACATATTTAAATCACTGGGTGCTAACCAAAACACCAGAACTCACCAGCCCATCTGGAGTACAGAAGGCAAAACAGAACAGCTGCCTGGCGCTCAGAAACTCTCATATACCAAAGTCTTAGGAGACCATCTACAGCAGAAATACAACCAACTTTTTTGGGGTCTCCCCTCTCTGCACAGTGAATCCCTGGTGGCTACTGCCTGGTTCTCTGAGAGTTCTTCAGCCCTTCAGTCTCCCTCTTTCTTATTCAATGGAATTACAAATGCCTGTCCAGTTCAAATTCAGGCTAAAATATCTCCACTGCTTTCCCAATCCCAGCCCTTGTCTCATCTGGAGTTCCAATCTCAACACTTAATGCCAACCATACCACCATTCCAGCCTCTATCTCAGTCTCAGGTGCAGATCAAGGTCCCTCTTCAATCTTCTTTCCCAACCCGAACACCTTCACCCCAGATCAAGGATTGCAAAATGTCTTGCCCTGCAGCCCAAAATGAGCCACAATCTCCCATCCCAACTGAGATTCAACGTCTGAAATGGTCCTTATTGCAGAAGCAACTAGAATGTGGGTGGACTTTATCTTCTGTAGTCCAAAGTTCTCAGGAAATCTTTAGTGTTTTTAGTTCCAACCTTCCTGAGGACAACTGGGTAGTCTCCATTCTTCCTGAGAATTTCCCAATCAGTCCTGAACTCCGGAAGCAACTAGAGCAACACCTCCAAAAATGGCTTATCCAACACCGTTGGGAGTTGCCCCAAAGAATCCAAGAGTCTCTGGAACTAAAACAGCTTCAGTCTGAATTACCAAATATAAATCAGTATAAATTACCAAATACAAAAGGAAAGCATGTAAGGTCACAGACCTCTCTATTTACAGGTGAAAGCAGCAAGGGCACACAGAAGGTGGGGTTCCAGCTAAGCATGGGCCAGGGTCTGGGACATGTTCTGGGAAAGGTCTCTAAAGATAGCTCCACAGGCTCAGAAATTTCCTTTGTAAAGGACTTGGGGGTGAACTTTGAAGAGTCAGACCATGACTTGAGACCCTCAAGTAGTGAGTCAGGAAGTGATGAATATGTCCTAAAAAGATATTTGGGCAGTAAGTCGGGGAGGATCAGAGAGGATTTTATACAGCAATCCTGGGTTGCTGTCACTCATGTTTTCCCCAGGTTTAAAAAATACAAGGAAAAAAGAAATCTAAAAGTATTAAAGGGTTGGGAACCCTGTGTGAACACCTCCCGTAGGATTCCCTTCCTCCATCCCTGCACTCGAGAGGTACTAGAATCACATATTATAAGGTTTTGGGTCAAACACAGGTGGGGCTTACCTCTCAAGGTCCTTAAGCCCATAAATTGCTTTAAATTGAAAAAAAAAGCTCAATCCTTGCCCCCTCTGCAATTTGACTCTCCCCCTCCGGCCACCTGTGTACCTGGGGCCCACACAAGAGTCAAGTTTGCCATGTCCCAGGAAGAATTTCCGCAGGCCCATTTGGGAGAAAAGGTAACAAAAGAATCAGGTCTCACTCTGGAGAGGCCTCTCCTTGCTCCCTCACCTGTGTGTGTCCTGGGAGCGATCTCATCTGGGGGCAATCATGAGCCCTCAGAACCACTTCTGAATGGACAGGAGGGCAATCTGTCTTCCCATTCCTTCACATCTGACAACAAGGTTGGAAATTGTCAGAGTGGGGCTATGAAATGGCCCAACTCAAGAGAGGAGATTTGGGACTGGGATTCACAAAACCCCTGCAATAGGGTAAAAATGGCAGAGATGAACTCAGGACTCCAATCTTTAAGGGCCCAAGAAACCAGGGGGGTGTTAGAAGTTGAGGAGTCTCCTGTTCTACAACAACAGTCTAGTGACATCTTAGGATCCGGTGTGCTGACAAAATTCCCAACCAGAAATGTGCAGAAGAGTAATTTAGTGTCCCCTATGACCACTGCAAACCATCTACTTCCTAGAATGTATGTTTCCCAAGATTCAGGAGAATCATGCCTTAACATAGAAGTTCCACGTGCGCTTATGCTCAGAGCAAAGACAAAATCAGAGGAACAATATATAGATTGTCCTACACATGTGTTCCCTACTGAAGACACTTTGGTTCCTTGGGTGCCTCATTGCCATCTCCAGAGAATGCCTTGTGGAGACATAATAGCTTCCCCTATAATACATGGTTTCATAGCAGACCAAAGGAGCAGCTCACAGCATCAGGAGTTCAGGATCTTGAGACTTCAAGACTCATGGAATGGTGAGAGCACGGCGGCTGACCCTACTTATGGGAGAGAGGACTGTCACAGGCCTGACAATGGAGCATGTGAAGGGTATGAAGAATTCCAGACCTCTCCGGTTGGAAGTTGGAGTCTCCCTACCCAGTTCAGAAGAATAGTAAACTTTATTGGGAGCAAATGCCTCCAGAAAAAAGTTACTTCAGAAAGCTTCTTCAGAAAGGGGATGAGGCTCTTTGTTCAGCGGATTTTCTCCAATAAGAAAGGCAAAGGTCAGGGTCGTCTACAAAGATGTGAACCTACGTTATCTACTGTCCAGAGAAAAGTGTCAGGCAAAAGCAAATCTATGATGGACGGTGAGACTGCTGAGGCTCGGGCAATCATGACAGCTGTTGGACAGATTTTAGAAGAGAAAATGGCACTTCACCAGGAGCTTCAAGCCATAAAGTTAAATGAACACAAACAGGAACTCCAACACTCAGCATGTGGGGCTTACTGCTCTTACAGGTCTTCCTTCCACTCAGAGAAAAGGAAAAGGAGTTGCACAACCTGCAGTCACCAAGTCATTCTCCCAAACCAGAATTGTTCTACCAGGGAAAAGCACGTCAAACCCCGACAGTCCTTGAAAAGTGTAAGATTCAATGATGATGGTGACCTGAGGAATATCCCATCAACACCCCCCAAGAAGACTGTGTCTCCCATCAGTGCCTGCCAGCACGGGCCAAGGATTCCATTTGCTCCAGGATGCTATCACCACTGCCCAAGACACTGTCCTTTCCAGGGGGGTGTCTTTCCTGGTCAGCCATAAAATGCTCCTCTAGCCCTTCCTAACAGGAAAACATGTCTCCAAGGAAAAAGTCAGTCCACGTAGAGAAAACCTTCTTGTTAGCACATCCAAGATGTTTAATGTTCCCCTAGATATGTTTTTTTCTCATAAAAGCATAATGTAGTAGCTTCTGCCTGTGTTACTTTTGGGGTGTACTTTGACTTCTTGAAAGGATGGACCACAGAGGGTGATTGACATGGAGTTGAGGGCTAGCTCCTTATTCCAAATCCTTTCATTGAAATTACGTTTGTCATTATATAAACAACAAAAATTACTATAAAACATGAGAAAACCTATGAAGATCTCACCCTAGAATCTATTTCAATCCATCTTTGCCCTGTCTTCACTACTCCTTAAACTTTACCCCACGGTATAGGATAGGTTCACAGAGACATAAGAGAAATGGATATTCCCACTCAGGCTCCAGAGCCTAGTGATTTCCAATGTCACAAAATGGAGCAAAGTGTGGAGGTGGGTGATGAAGGGCTTTCAGTTTAGGAGTGAAATCTTAACCTCTAGATCTGTAGGTGGGAGATAGATGACACCTGCCTTTAGGTGCCCCTTTTGTCCCTCATACAGGATTTTTTTTAAAACCCCATAGACTCCTCTCAGCTTATCCTAATGGCATGTAGTGTCCTTACTTCTAGCTTTCAAGTGCTCTAGAGCAGCCGCGAGGATGGCATGTCCCACTCTTTGTGTCCACAGGTGGAGGAGATTTAGGGAAGCTGTTTACCCCTACCCCAAAGAAATGAATGCTCCTATTCATGGGTGACCATCCTTCCCCTCTATGTTAAACCCAGAGAAGGAGCTCTGGTGATTAGAACAGAAATGTGACTGAATTTAGAAATTATCTGATGGTTGGAAGTTGTGAACTGAGGATGGGATGGAGATGAAGAACTGAAACAGTTGGATCCAAGGAAAGAGGCAAAGTGGCATAAGAGTAGCCATGAATAGTGCAGCAAAACAAGGAGCCCCCTGATGTCCCACTGCCATCTACAGGCTGAGAGGGGAGAAGATAGACACCCAATTGCTCACTGTGACTTGGGTCTTCTCTCTGCCCCAGCTCCCAGACCACAGATTTATAGGAGCTACTTTTTGGGTCAAACTGGGTTGTAGTAAAGCAAATCTGGGAAGGTTAATCTCTTAACCATGTATTTAATAAGCTTGAATATTATTGCCTCTTGAATTCTAGAAAGGTTGATTTAACAGCAAGTGTAAATGAACTAGTGAACTCAGGACTTAACTCTCAGTCTGGTGACCTTGACAAACATATGGCCCAAAGGAGAAGTCCATGGGAAAGGCCCAAGGGAGAGGTTGGGGGGGAGTGTATAAAAAGTCCAAGGGACAGGCTTGCAGTCATACAGTAAATCTCACTGTATCCAGAGCCTATCCCACCTATCCCAAAGATACCCTCCCTATAACATCACACAGATGTCTTACCCAGAGACATCAAGACAGACTTCACGTGGCCTCTCAGAGACCTCTCACAAAAACTTCAAAGACTTCATCTGGTGACACTGCACAAGTCACACACTGGAACCTGACACAGATTCTCTACAGAGAGCTCACATTCATGCTTTAGGATCCTAAGGAGCCACCCCTTGATAGATCTACTTGGTCCACGGGCAGCAAGAAGATCACATCAGTTGTACACCCTTGACAATCTTAAGATACACAGGAATTTGTGTTCATTTCTAATGCCATTGACATTGAACAAAACAATCTGTTCACAGACTTGCAGATTTGCAATATTAATTCATTGCCAGGTTTTTATTACCTTGAGAATCACAAATTTTAAAGACAACTAAAATACTGTCAGTGGAAAAAAATACCTTATTTGTCTAGTTTTAGTTTATTATCAAGATAAGTGATATCAATATCATATTTTTTATTTCACTGGGAACAAGACTTGAACTTGAAATGGCTGACATGTACTTTGGCAACATAATAAAGACCTGCAACAAATGTACTCTAGGAATGAAACAAATCAGGAAAAGGCATTTGGACTGACACCTCCCAGGAGACTGTATAACTAGCACATTATTCTGCACATAACAGTTTGCATCAGTTTGTAACTTTTATTTTTTTTCACAAGCTAACAATTGTGAGGGTTTTTCAGAAGCAAGTAAATTTTCTGGTAATGTCCTATTAAATCACTTGGCAGAAATGACAAGTCCCTATGTCAGCAGTGACCTGTCTTCAAGGTCATTGTAACCTTACCACCACATTGCCTTTGGACTGCATGCTTGAGAAACAGAACTATGAAAACACAGCTTCTGTTCCTTATAATTTAATGTCTTGGCACTGCAAAGAATATGTTTTTATTTAGTATCTTTTGAGTAATATAGTAATGCTGGTATATTATAAAGATACAAAAAGAATAGAAAGAAAACATTAAATATAGCACTTGAATTATTTTGAGACATTTAAGTTTTCCTCAGATATAGTCCTTATTCTTTTCTCCCCCCTATATAAACTTTAATCCTTTTGACATGCAAAAATTTAAACCTAAAAAGGAAAAATGAAAATACGCACATATTTAGTGTGGGGTCAGTCTCCCCAAAAGGGTCAGGTCGGTTTTCCTCAATGTGCCCAGAGTAGGTCTTCTGTCACCTTGGCACAGAAACTAGAGGTCAGTAGAGGAACTGTGAGTCTCAGGAAGACCATTACCATTACTTAAGAGTACAAATTATAGTTTATTTTCTTACATCTTTGTTAATTTTGGGACAGTATTTGATTTCTCTCCTCCGGTGTAGTCCCTATAGTTCTCCCACCACCATGGCACCCATGATCCATCTCCACTGTCCCTTGTGCTCTTCCCTCTTCCCCTGTTTTGATCCCTCTCTCTTCCTCTCCCCTGCTGTGTGCCTCAGATCTGTGGTCAGCAAGAGTGTAGATTATTTTGGGTAGAGAGCAGCAAGGGCCCTGAAGGCTAGAGGAAACTCCTGCTCTTGCCCAAGTCTTCCGGTCTTCCCAAATCAAAGAGCTCCTGACTGCCTGAGCTGCTACACTTTTCTTAACTCGAGAAGCAGTTACTGTCAACCAGCAATTTATGACCAAGAAGAATACAGGTTGGAGTCTTTCATCCAGATGTAAGTTTATTAGTGAACATGTCTTCTTTATCTGAGAACCTTTCTCTACCTTACTCTCAGAGGAAGGATGAAGCAATCTTTTCCTTGCCTGATATGGGAACCCTTATCTATCCTTGATTGGCTCTGGTCCCTAAACACAGAATAAATACCTACTCCATTATTTTTTACATAAACAATGCTGTAAACCCAATGTTACTCCAATTAAAAAAAAAAGTTTACAATTGTGTAAATTCTTTATAAATAAATTATTAAAGTTTGCATCACCTACTAGTAATGTGTCTGATGTTAATTTGTTGGTCCATCCAACCTTTAAAGAACCCAGATGGGATAGAGAAAAATTTTCCTGTGCCTCAATATATATATTGCTCAGTAATAAAAGGGTATGAAATAATATATACAACAACATAGATGTGCCCCAAAACCTGCTGCATGAAAGAAAAGAGGAACACTAAAATTCTATTTACATAAAATTTGAGAATGGGAAAACAAAAATCACTGAAAACAAATCATTGGCTTGTTTTTGTAAGAAGGTGGGAGTTGATCACCTTTGGTTTACATAGATTCAGCCAAGAAAAAGTGTGTTTATTAAAGGTTCAAAAGACTCAAGCCTCCCAATTGTTCTCGGAAAGCTGCTCAAACTCTGAGCTTCTCAATGATTTTACATAGTTTACAAGGAAAACATTTCAAGGATTTTTACAAAGAAAATCCAGGCAAGAATGTTGTCTATGCATTGAGGAAAGCAAAGAGGGCTCTTACAATTTGCTGATCTATTTAGAGTCCTACCTTCTGGGACTAGAGATCCTAGCAACGTCGCATACTTCAGAGCTGATGTTCTTTGAAACTACTAAGTTGTCTGGAGGCAGCAGTTTCTGAAAAGTTTCTTTTTCACAAACACAGCATTTTCCCTATGCATAAGTTCCTTCAGCATCAGACCATCTATATATTGATTCTTGATTTGCATGTGTTAGTTGGGACCAGGGAGAGGGATACCCACTTAATTGTCAGCTCTGATTAATGATTTTTCTCCATTTTGGTCACAATCATTCTCACATTGATGACCATTTGGATGATGTTTTACTGATCCTTCTGGAAGTCTTCATTCTCCGTTGACCTGACTGCCAATTAACCAGTTTCTATTTACCTGTTCTGTAACCCCACTAATTTTTTATTCCCTGTTTTTAACCTCAATGCCAGACCACATTTTAAATTCATTGTGCAGAAGAATTCAGTGTAATTAATTAGCTTAGCACAGTTTTGATTGTGATGTGATGAAATATGACATAATTGATAACGTTTACACAGTAATGAAGGAAAAAATTAAGTAGGATTACAACTATTATCATTGCAATTAAAGTTTTCTAAAGTTATGTGAGAATGTGAATGACTCAAAAAAGACATCCTAACCATCTAAAAAATCCAGTACATGTTTTATAATATTGTTTGACTAATTTAATACATATTCTACCTTGATCTAGTTATTTGCACCTTATGATAAACCTGATTAGACCTGGTTAAGACTTGAATTAACTCATTATCTCCAACAGTAAACTTTTCTTTTGGCCAGTAAACTGTTCTGTTTCCACAGAGTCTGTTTAGATGGGGGTATTGAGAACTATGCTCCAGCATACATAATCATTTCTAACTGTATTTTCATAAATTTTGATAAAGCCATGGATTTTTGAAGTTCCAGTAGTTCCAGTATTGCAACAAATGCCAGCTTTTTGAATAAACTTTTTTTTTTTCAAGCTGCCTCCCAAACTTTACTCTCTTCTTGAAATAACATTCCTCTTAGATTTTCTGTTTGCAATAAAAATCCCTCTTCATGGTTATGTCTTTCTTCATTTGCAAGAAATTCACATTGTCCAAGCTCTGCCTCATTCTTACATAAATCTCATTGCTCTGAGTGACAGCCAGTGCAGTCTTATCCACCAGTCATTCTGTTGTCACAGTGTGCTAATTGCTTTAGGACAGTTAGGGTATAAGGTATTACCACAAAATGTCAGCTACTCCATATCATATTTGGTATGTGGATGAGACCCCAAATATGCAATAGTTTGTGTATATTATAAAGCCTCCCATAAACCGCCAGAATTATATTCAAGGCTGTAACAGGCATCTCAGGTCAACAAGTAATATCTATTCTGTTGGAGTTATCTGAGACTTTTTACCTCCAGAAGCAAGGTTTAAAGTCAGAAAGGCACACTAT